TGAAGAATGGACACCAGGTGTTGGTGAAGAGGTGAGTTTCATTTTAAGAACTGTGATATCGGACTTGTATTTTAATATAAATCTGGTGTCATTTGTCACAGAGTGAAAGGCTATGGTTGCCAATCAAGGCAGGTGGGAAAAAAAGAGATTTTACCATGAAAAGTGGCATTTCTCGAAATACACCCTTTTATAACGAAGGATATCTACCTTTGATTCACATGTAATTCTGTTCCAATTAGCAATAATATCTCGTTTTCGCTTTTTTTTTATCCACCCTGTATAATGGAGATCCTCTATGACTGGAGCTGTAAGATACTTGGGGGTCATGGGTTGAGTTCCCATTCCATTCAACAGTTGCTTTACTCCTGAATATTATTATTGAGAATTCATCACCCAGTGTGTTTGAAATTTCAAAACCAGACACTTTTACTTTTCACTGTGTAGGAGGCGGTTACTAGGCACGGCTGTTCCAGCGCAAAATAATGGCGCCCTCTGTCGTTCTAATCGCGCCAATCGAAAATCTCCGTAAAATGACGTCACCGACACTCTTCGTGGGTCGGGCCAAGCGAGTTTCATATCATGAATATTTATATCTGGGAATATTTGGAATGTCATTGGTAGATTAATCGGCCAAAGTTCAAAATGTTTCTTTTTCAAAAGTTTGTTATTTTCCCCTTATTTCCATATATGAATATTAGCTCATGAATATTAAATTACTGAAAACGGCGTCCGTCAAAACTGGTGTTCGACCGAGCTGATTATCGCGGTGTGCGGTCATGTGACAAATTTGTCACATTAAAAGGTGTTTTTCTCCAAACAAGAGGTTTTCCCCGATGTAAGGCCCACATCAACTTTGTTTTGGAGATACGGGCTGCATATGTGTCCGGTTTGAAGGTAAGGCCAGCGGTAGATTTGTTGATATTTAGGTGCAAAAAGTGACATATTTTCGTGTGTGCGCGGAATGCCAAACGGTCGAGTTGGTTGTAAAGCGTACATGGTACGCGCCTGTGTATCACGCATAGCCCAAGGGCATGATGGTTTAGAGACAACTCGACCGTTTGCGTGTTCATGTATTTGTACGGGCACGCGTGCGGATCTAACCCGTACCTAGGTTCGTGCATGTGTGGACGAAGATCCTCCATTGGCGTGATGCACATGTACATGACATGTCGTGTATTGTGCTACAACTTTGTTATACATGGGAAAGATTTCCATACATAAATTACATCAAAATGATCAACTAGGCCTTAATTGGAAGGTAAACAAAAATGCTATTTGCACGATTCAGTATAAAATTAATAAAAACAATACGAACAGGTCATGACAACAGAGAGAGAAAAATGCCCCCCCCCCCCAAAAAAAATGAACATTTCATAACAATTTGATTCTGACATGAACAGGATGAAAGTAGTTAACATGTCGGACTAATCTTTTTTATTGTACATGCCACCTTTCGTATTCGCAGAACTTATTCTGGCATGTCTGACGTTGAATTTATTTCAGGCTTTGCATATTTATTCAGTAATGCTTAGCCAAATGCCAAATCCATTTTCATGTAAACACATAAGTGCCTCAGCTTCATGGGGACATGAAAAAATTGGCAATTCTAAATTGAGGTGTTTTGTTTCTGTGTGATCCTGTACCATACAAATGGATCTCTTTTTTCTAGATCACCAACCTTCCCAAATTTTTCAGCCAATGTAGACTTGGCACAGGCCTTATTGTGCAGTGTGCACCCCCCCCCCGATAAAGTAATATAAATATTGTTAAATGGTGTAATGATACATAATGTACATGTGACATGCACCACTGCTTAGTGTTGGCGGTACATGTAGAGCTTTGAATGTATGGCTACATTTCTCCCATGCCCCACCCCCACCCCACCCCCTAATAAAAGCAATTGTACATGTGATCCTGTTTTCTGAAAAAAGCATTTTGTTATGATTTTTCAGGAAGTTTGCAGTATCATTCTCCTGACAAGAGGGTTTCTCGTATTTTCTGGAGCTCTGGTGAGATGGTGGTGTGGTGAGCCGTTGACTCATTGTGATGAGCCGTACAGTGGAAGTGAATCTTTCCCATCCCACGTTTGTGCATGGAGGATCAGGATAACACAGACATGAGCATGTGTTGGGTGTATTTTTGGTAACAGAATGTGTGCCAAACTGTGTGATGCCATGTGCACTGCTAGATTTGAACAAACCCTGCACCGCCTTGATCCGACACATTAAGAACTTCTATTGTCTGCTTGCCAAGGAATCACTCTGGAATTTAAGCTCAGGATTCACACGTCACACATGATCACTCGCGATGGACTGGTTCTCGCTCCCATAATATCGGACATGTTTACATTTTAATGCCCATTTATGGCCATTGATTGGATGACCCCTGCATGTATGTGCAGTACAATTGTGTTTTTTGGAAAATGATATTTACATTCTGATTTCTCGTGCATGGCTATCGCAAAACTGACTCGTACATGAACCATAAACTGTAGGCAAAATGGTCATGTCTCTACTGAAACTGCATTAATGACAACATTGTTGCCACTTTGAAGGGGCTGGATCCATGCTTACATTATCATTGTGGTTTTGTACATAAGGGCAGAATTGTGACCTAGGCTTATTTGTATACACCGGTAGGAATTCCTCCAGGACTACTGCGAACGACACTCCTAAGTGCCAAAATTATGAATTGAAATACAACTGGATATTAACTTTCACTGAAAATCAACTAATTGTTGACACTACTAAAATGCTATTATTAAATTAGATATTTTTATCGGTGCTTTTTTTTACAGTAAGTAAATAGGCTACTAATAACAAGTTTTAAGTTGGCCTTCTTTTCCATACTTTAAAACAGATAGGACTTTTACGTGTATGTGGATTGCTTTTTTAGGTGTACTGCGACCAATGGGAGACCAATGGATTTCACTAAATTGGCCGCCATGCAACTTAAATAATGAAATAAAGTAAAATATAAATATTACCCTGCCAGTTTTTAAATCTAATATTCAATTGGAGTCTGCCTTTGCTTGTGCCACATGCAATGATTGGCTGCAGCCTCTACTATCTCTGGGGGAATGCGGCAATCTCTATATATGCTGTGTGATGTCATGTGGCCATAGATTTCAGCAACCTTGCTGGTTACTTTTGCTTCTTGGAAGGGTTCTGGACAGAAGTGTTGTGCTGACCCGACTCGAAACTGTAATTGACTCAACCAAAAACCAACTTTGTGTTTGGTCGGGTCGGTTTGTCCATCATTTCAGTTGGGTTGGTCAGTTTTGTGTTTGAAAATTTGCGGATCAGGTTGGATCGGGTCTATTCAAAACCCAAAATAAACGGGGAAAAAAGATGGACACAGTTTGGAAATTAACACAGCGCAGGATTTGTATTATATCTATAATGTTTCGCATCGGTTTGGCCTATAGTGGACCCAACCGAAGCAAAACTCTACTGGACAGGGGAGGTTTTCGAAGTTTTCGAGGTTTGGATGAAGCTAATCTGGGACACTTGTGGACATATGCAGGACTGCATTTGCTCGAGTTTTCCTATAGCCCGAACAGTCCTGAATCCTGGAATTTTAATACGATTCCCCCCCCCCCCCCCACCCAGGGAGTTAGGGTTAATGAAAACTGTTTGAAGTGATAAGTGTTGCACCCGTAGTGGTTTAACTTTATGAATATTGCTGTGCAAATAAGGGCAGGATATTGTTTCTTTTATGAAATTTTTAAACAATTTTAAGCAAACTTGGAGCATTACATTTGTTCATACATGTATAATCATAAGGCCGTCTGACCTACAGGAGTCTGATGTAGAAAGCTCATCCTGCCTAATATTATTGGTGTTCGTACGAAATTATTTGTATTCTTAACATGCATGATCTGGCCGGAGTTCTGCTGAATATTTCCCCCACAAACCACCGGCCTGTGACTCTCAGCGCACGGTTTCGCTGCGCTGCAGTTCAGCGGGCAGGGCAGTGCGACAACGCCGTGTTAACGCCGCGCGTGCGCCGGTGGTGTGTGCATGAGTTCACGCCCTATAGCTATTGTGCCGTGTGATGTGCGTGTATACCGCGCGGTGTTCGTGAAAAGTGGCTGTATTTTAACGGTTCTAAAAAACAATCTACCGCTGGCCTTCGAATGAAACTTCATGAGTCATTTAAGATGGTCCTTATTTACAAGAAGTGACCATGGAATATTTGGGGAAAACTTGGTATCAATAATAAAACGGGATTTTCTTCGGGGATTTTTAACAACTTCCAAAACAAACAGCGACAGAAAACCTTACGCACGAAGCGTAATCAAACCTGTTTTTTACAGGTATTTTGAACTTTATGGGCCAGCTCAATCTCCCGATGTGTGGAAACTCACGTTATCTGTCAGAATTATAGTATGGCACCATAAGACATTGTGTGAGTCATGATTTAGGGGCAAGTTTGGGGCATGTTAATTCGTGTTTTGTTTTCGTGAAAATTTAGGACGCCATCTTGGATTTCCAAAATTGCATGACGTCATCACTTTGATACACTGGAGTAAACAAACGCTGTGCGGACAAAATTGCTCAAGTTAATTACGTTATGTCTATGGGATTGAAACGGCCGTGTAGGGGTTCGGTGAGAGTGGTACAGGAACTAGCAAGTGAAACGACTCCAACACTGTCTTGCGACGTACATGTACTAGCTAACTGATCTGGCCTTTATTCTGGAAAGAGATGGCAGGGGGAGAATTGGGTATGTTGGTAACTCTACGTATACTGCCACGAATGACCAACATAGCCAACACAGTCAGCCCCCTGTCCACTCGCCTGGGCAGTACCATTAAAGAGCGGGAGTTTCCTGTACCCTTCAACTGTGCTTTTTCTTTGTGATTCGCTCACACCTGTATAAGACACCAGCATCAGCATCTTTATTAAGATTACACAGGAACATGGAGTGAGTCTGATATTCATTGGAGTCTATATAACAATTATTGTATCTTTTTATTGTTGTTATCATTACTGCAATCAGGTTTGGATTCCCCAATTTCATTGCCAGATGTCTTGAAATTAGACCCGGTAAGTAGCTTGTAGTACATTTCTAAATGTATTTTGTGTGTTATAATTTAGTTGAACGTATAGACAAGTTGTATGAAATGGTAATCAAAAAACAGTTGGTAAAATTTATTAACTTGAGAAATGTAAAGTGGCTTCATCCTAAATCCTTCATCCTAATCCTACAATGCAAATTGTTCTTTTTTTACAGTTTGATTTCTCTCCAAGTCCAGAACATCCACCTAAGCCTCCGTCTACAGCTGCCACTGTACAGTTGGCTTCACCAAATGTATGATTTGATATTGTTAGTGCCAAATTCACCGCATGAAACAGTTATATCGCCCTCTGTTAACAGAAAAGTTTGTAGATATCATTATGGGATATCGATCGATAGGAGCGTGGAGGACAAATTTTTTCAACCTTTGTAACAGTTTTGTATCACCTTTTTGACACTTTTGACAAGCTTATTCTCGACTTATGGATATTTTGTGTGTTTTGGAGCTATTGGAGGATAACAGGAGCTTCACATAAACTGTAAGAACACAGTAGGCAAGGCATTATTGAAGGAAATAGAACTGATCCGAGGGCCTTGAATTGAACAGTGTGTGAGCTTGTCTTTTTTCTTATGAGCCGGATTGAAGCGTTGGAAACTTTACTAGGCCCGTTCCTGTCCGCAAATTAAACGTGAAAAACTTTGGGAGCCTTAAAGTGAACTTTAGAAAGGCCCATAAATAGGCACGTATATTAGTTGAAAAAATCGTCCAGTTTTACGGGAGGAATACTGTCATGACTGTACCATAGACTGAGTTACAAGTATACACGAAACTTAGTAGCATAGAACTGAGTATAGAGTATAGGCCTACCCTGCATGAATTGCCAGAATGGATGAACTAGATAAGGATCAAGTCATGTTGTCCACAGTTGACCCATGGTTACCGACACCCGAAGCCAGCCCGGGTGGTGCTGCAGGTGGTGGCGAACCAAATGAAGAGAGTGCCGGTGCCTTAACATCCTTTCTTCAGCAACAGGGGGAATCAATAAAACAGCAAAAACAGCTGATGAAGTTGTTGGTTGAGTGTCACATGAGATCATCCCTCCCCCAAAGACAAAAACAGCCATTCAATGGAAACCCGCTTGATTACCATGCATTTGTGAGGGCCTTTGAGCACACCATTGAATCCAAGACCAACAATGACAAGGACAAACTGTACTTTTTGGAGCAGTACACCAGGGGTGAAGCGAATGCCATTGTGAAAAGCTGCATGTATGGTGAAGATTCGGCAGACGCTCTTGCCAAAGCCAAACTTCTGCTGAAGAAGAAATTCGCCGACAAGCATCGTATCATTAACAACATGGTGGCAAAGGCAGTTGGGTGGCCGGACATCAAGCCAGAGGATTAAGATGAGCTCCATCGCTATTCAGTGTTCATCACAGAGCTGTACAACTTAGCCAAGGATCTCAGCATGGAGCAGGAGATCAATCATTCGCAGAACATTCGGATGATCACAGCAAAGTTGCCATACAAGCTGAGAGATAGGTGGAGGAATAAGGCTGATGATATCCAAGAAGAGAAGAACAGAAATGTTTGTGTTTGATGACGTCGTCACCTTCATCAACAAACAGACACGCATTGCATGCAACACAATCTATTGAGACATAACCAAGACAATCGACTGGGGAAAAGGAAACAGTAACAAGCCAAGACCAGTTTCAGCACAACTGTGAGTGGTGATTCAGAACAAACTGTGAGCAGTGGAGCCTGCATTTATTGCAGTGATGCTAGCCATTGCATAAAGAGCTGTGCAGTACTGGCCAGCAAGCCAAATGAAGAGAGAATTGAGTTCTGCCGTGCCAAGGGGCTATGCTTTGGGTGCATGCGTGCATCATCACATCTTGCAAGAGACTGTAAGAAAAGACAGAAGTGCAGTATTTGTCGACGGTGGCATCCTACAGTGCTACACAGAGAATGGAAAAGCCCCCAGCAGCCTGATGCTACACCAGTCAGTGCCGTCAATGGAAAGCAAACTCGGCTTAATGAAGAAACAGACGTAAAGGACAATGTTAAATGCGGTTTAACAAACTCCGTCAATGTGTGTCCTACTGAATCGCTGCCAGGGGTTGTTCCAGTCATCCTGAGGTCAAGAAAGACAGGAATGCAGACCAAAACCTATGCATTCTTAGACTCCGGCAGTAATGCAGTCTTCTGTGCTGATGCAGTGGTGACCCGGCTCGGTGAGAAAGGAAAGGCAGTCAACATACGAGTACAAACTTTGACAGACGAGAAGGTGGTGAAGGATCGTGTGTTGTCGGATCTTGAGATAATGGACCTAAAGAGCCAAAGAGTCATCAGTCTTCCAGAAGTCTACACCCAGGCACAAATCCCGGTAGTCAGAGAAGACATCCTCACCAAAGATGACTTGAAGGAATGGCGGTACTTGGACAGAGTTGAGCTGCCAAATGTTGATGCAGAGGTGGGGCTGTTGATTGGAAACAATGTCCCAAAGCCGATGGAACCACTTGAAGTCATAAACAGCAAGGACGGTGGCCCCTTTGCTTACCGATCAGTCCTTGGTTGGCAGGTTTATGGGTCAAAGAGAAATCAAGGTCAACAGTGAATCATCTCCTATAAAGTAACAGTGAAAGCCAAATCAGACATTGATGATCAGCTGGAGAAGCTTTTCAATCATGACTTCAATGAGAGGATCATAGAAGACAAGCCAGAGAAGTCCAGACAGGATTTACTCTTCACCCAGAAGGTGGAGAACTCCATCAGAATGGTAGGCGACCATTACGAGATTGCACTCCCACTGAAACAGACAGAAGTTAGAATGCCGAACAACAGACCACAATCAGAACAGAGAACGGCCCATCTGCAAAGAAAGTTCCAGAGACAACCAGAATTCCAGAAGGAATATACAGGCTACAAGGAGTCCATGCTTAGCAAGGGTTACATGGAGAAAGTTCACGATGGAGAGGCAAGAAGGGATGACGGCAGATTATGGTATCTTCCTCATCATGGTGTCCACAGAAAAACAAGATGAGGGGGTGTATGACTGCACAGCCGACTACAGAGGTGTCTCCCTCAATAAACAGTTGATACAGGGGCCGGATCCGACAAACAGCCTAATTGGTGTCTTGACTAGGTTCAGGCAGGACCAGGTTGCCCTCATGTCTGAAATTGAAGGCATGTTTTCCCAAGTCTTGGTGCCCAGGGATGACAGAGATCTGCTGAGGTTGTTATGGTGGGACAATCGTGACATCAAGAAACCCTTGACAGAGTACCGCATGAAAGTACATGTCTTTGGTGCGGTCTCTTCTCCTTCATGTGCGAACTACGCTTTGAAGAAGACAGCAGACGATCATGCAGGAAGTGAGGAAATTGCGCACATCATCCATCGCAATTTCTATGTTGACGATTGTTTGTGCTCAACCCTGACAGTGTCAAAGGCAGTCCAGCTTGTCAAAGATTTGACTGAAACATGCAGCAAGGGAGGATTCCACCTAACAAAGTGGGTCAGCAACAAGAAGGAAGTCCTAGAGAACATTCCTAAAGATGAAAGAGGCAGAAACTGTAAAGACTTGAACATCGACGGAGAGAAGTTGCCTGTTGAGAGAGCGCTTGGCATGTTGTGGTCCATTGACGATGATGAGTTCGGGTACAAAATTGAGATGAGAGAGAGACCACCAACAGGAAGAGTTATTGTATCTACCGTGAGCTCTGTCTTCGACCCATTGGGATGTGTCTCACCAGTTGTGCTTCCAGCCAAGCAATTACTGCAAGCCGCCTGTCGGATGAAGTTGGGATGGGATGAAGAAATTCCACCAGATCTGAGTAAGAAATGGCAGAATTGGCAGTTGGAACTCCCAAGACTGGCGGAGTTCAAGATGGCAAGATGCCTGAAGCCAGATGGATTTGAGGAACCAAAATCAGTGACCTTGCACCACTTTGCTGATGCCAGCTAGCTGGGTTATGGCACCATATCTTTTCTGAGATTGGTGAATGATGAAGGCGGAGCCAAGTGTTCATTCCTGATGAGAAAATCGAGGGTCGCCCCACTGAAGCAGGTGACAATTCCAAGAATGGAGTTAACAGCAGCGACAGTAGCAGTGAGAGTTGACCTATTATGATCAGGAAGGAGCTGGAGATCGAAGTATATGACACCTACTTCTGGACCGATAGCATTCTTGTGCTACGGTACATCAACAGTAGAACAACCAGATTTAAGACATTCGTTGCCAACAGGTTGGCAATTATTCTTGACGGCTCAAGTCCAACGCAGTGGCATCACATTGAATCAGCACTCAATCCTGCTGATGTCTGTTCAAGGGGAAGGAGAGTTGAGCAATTCCTACAGATGGATGACTGGAAGAATGGCTCAGAGTTCTTACTTTAGCCAGAAGATGAGTGGCCCACAACCCCAGAGCTTGGTGCAGTTGAAGTGGCAGAAGACTCGGAGGTTAAGAATAATAATAATAATAATAATTTATTAATTTATAGTGCGCAAATTCCATTTAAAATATGTTCAAATGCGCATTACAGTCATAAAAAAAATAAAAATAAACAGACGTATACGCAAAATTTAACAATACAATGAACACTGATACAGGGTACAAAAAATCAATAAAAAGCTCTCATAAAAAGATGAGTTTTAAGTAATTGTTTAAACAACATTCAGGCTACTTGCTTCTTGGATATTTAATGGCAGTGCATTCCATAACTTAGGTGCAGCACACTCAAATGCACGATCACCAAGGGTGACCTTGGTTCGACTTGCTGAGTAACTGAGGAGTGTTTTGTCATTGGAAGATCTGAGATTGTAATTGGATGAAGATCGTTTTTGGATTAGATGGCATAAATTTAAGGGAGCTAGACCATAAAGAATTTTATAAGTTATTAACAGAATTTTAAACTCAATCCTGAATCTCACCGGAATGTTCATGCGTGTACCATCAAGCCAAGTGAGATGGAGAAACTGGGCCTGGATCGAGTAATCGAGCACTACTCAGACTGGGTGCGACTGAAGAAGGCAGTCTGCTGGTTGCTAAGATTCAGAAGATAGTTGAAAGCCAGCCCGAGTCCCAGAAAGCTGAACAAACTCCGCAGGGTGGACTAACTCTGAAAGAACTACAAGCAGCAGAGAAGAAAATCTTGCAGCATGTACAAAGCCAAGCATATGCAGATGAGATCAGAGCCCTTGCCCAGAGTACAGAAGATGATGGAGGGAGCAGACAAAAGATCAAAGGAGTGACGAAAACCAGTTCCATCTACAGAGTTGACCAGGTCATAAATGGTGAGCTGTTAAGAGTTGGAGGAAGATTGAGCAGGGCCTCACTGCCAGTTGATGCTAAACACCCCATCATCCTTCCCAAAGCCAGCCACGTGTCAACCTTGATCATAAGACGCTTTCATGAGACATCCGGGCATTGTGGGAGGAACCATGTTCTTGCGAGTCTTCAACAGAAATATTGGATTTCTGGTGCCAACTCCGCAATCAGAAAAGTAGTTGGCAAATGTGTGATGTGCAGACGGTCCAGAGCCAAATTCATGGAGCAGAAGATGGCTGACCTCCCAGCAGACAGGATCAAACCTGATGAGCCCCCCTTCACCAGAGTAGGAATGGACTGCTTTGGGCCACTAGAGGTGAAAAGAGGTCGCAGTGTGCTAAAACGGTATGGTGTGATTTTCACCTGTGTATCTTCACGAGCTGTGCACCTTGAGAAGGCTGACTCCCTAGACACGGACTCATGCACTGACGCTATGCGGCGATTCATTGCTCGTCGGGGAAATGTGACAGAGATGAGATCGGACAATGGCACCAATCTTGTGGTTGCTGAAAGAGAACTTAGAACAGAAATCAACAAGTGGAACCAGGCTCAACTGAACAACGCATTGCTGCAGAGAAACATTCAGTGGACCTTCAATCCACCTGGAGGGTCCCATCACGGTGGTGTATGGGAAAGGCAGATAAGAACTGTGAGAAAACTGCTTTTCTCCCTGATGAAGCAGCAGACCTTGACTGATGAGAGCTTGCACACTCTACTGTGCGAGGTGGAGAGTATCATCAACAGCAGGCCCTTGACCAGGGTATCTGATGACGTGAATGACCTGGAAGCATTGACCCCAAATCATTTGCTTCTGCTGAAGTCTACCCCCCATTCCCCCCAACTACCCCCAGTAGTCAACCAGGAGACCGACGTCTACGCTCGGCGCAGATGGCGACAAGTCCAGTACCTATCTGATGTGTTTTGGCGCAGATGGGTAAAGGAGTACTTACCTCAGCTACAGGAGAGACATAAGTGGGTGCGTCCCCAGCCTAACGTCGGTGTTGGAGATCTAGTGTTGGTGGTGGATACATCTGTGCCAAGGAATCTCTGGCCGCTTGGGAGAGTGGTACGCACTATGCCAGACGTTCGAAGCGTGGAGGTGAAGACTAATACGAATGTCTACAGGAGGCCGATCACCGAGTTGTGCTTGCTTTTGGAAGCAGACCCTTAAGCGCGGTTTGACAAGACAAGACATGGAGAGCTGTGCAACCCATGAATCGCGGCTCCAGTCTACAGTGGAGTTTGTAAATATGTTTGTAAGAGGTGCGAGCCTAGCGCCGCCTCAGTTTGTTTGATGACGTTGCACCTTACAAGGAGCAGTTGAGGCTGGATATATTCGCAGAGTTCAAGCCAAAGTTGCAGTGGGTGCATGGGAATTTGATTTGCATATGTTGTGATTTCAAATGAGGTGCGAGCCAAGCGCCGCCTCTACCTTTGTGCCTTTGTTTGAAACGTGCAAAAATTGCGAATGGAACCCTCGAGCCAGCTAGTTGCATTCATGTTCGCGATTCAGGAACAAGGATGATACATTGACTGTCGCGAAAATCTGTTTCAAGGATCAAGTTTGCAGTGACATTGAACTTTGCAATTGACAGTTGAAATACTTGGAGTGGAACTTCAAAAAAACTCTTGATTCAGTGACACTTGCAGCTTATTTGTAATAATTATGAATCATTGTGTTAAGTACTTTTTGTGCTCAACTTTTACACATGTAAAAAATGTTTGTGCATGTATGATCACAAGTCATTAATTGAGAACAGAGCTCTTGTATTGATTGATTTGGAATATGTAAGTTAAAATCTGATTGTCAACGAGTGTTCATATTTTGATTCAGTACATTGGTTAGACAATTGGACCCCAAAAACAGTTGGCAGTATGTGTGAAGTTAAAGCTAAAGATTGTTCAGGTGACCAGTCTAATAATTCAGTAGCTCAGTTTTGCCAGATGTCAAGTGTATTTATTTTTTGCAACATTGCCATAAAATGTACAGATTGAGTTAAAGTATTTTGAATCTACATGTGCTTCTAACAGGATTAATTGTACAGTGGAAATGGTTTGCTAGTATATTTCATGACACGTGTACTATGTAAATTATGTAAATAAGCTGATTGTTCATGTGATTTCAGTTTGAATAATTGTAAACCAAAAAGTCGGTATTAATTGTGCTCACTACATAGAATACCCATGGATTGGTCCAGTATATGTAATTCTCGATCATGACCAATTTTCCTTTTGGTCTTTAGACATGATTATCATTGAAGGCATTGTGTATTTTAGGAAAATAACAATGTAAATAGGATGAATTTACAAGATTTGTTATCACTGTTATTTAAAAATGCAAGAGGCAGATTTCAGTATGTCTTTTTGTTTTGGACTCATTGTAGTACTCTAGACGGTTGGACAATTGACTAGAATATTTGCTAGTGTGATATTCTTACAGTGTTAAGTTATACAGTGCCTAGTACAAATGGAGGTTATGCAAATGCATATAAGTTTAGGTTAGGCCAAAAAAAAAAAATTCGGAATTGACGCGGCCACGCGGCTTTTTTTTTTTTTTTTCCTTTTTTTTTCTTTTCTTCAGCTTGGATTGTACAGACAAGGTGGGTACTATTTTGCTTTTTTGGTGTCCTCATGTACATTGGTGGCCTCCATAATTTGCCTTGGTGCTTTCGATCATTTGCCTTGGTGCAGTTTCCCATTCCTTGGTGCTCTTTGGTAAAAAAAATTGAGGAGGTGCGGAAATAGAGGGCGCTGTTGGAGCTACCGCGGAACATTTTGGAAAAAAAAAAGATCGACGCGCATGCTTAAAATCGACGCGCGCGCTGACCAGAGACCGACTTATTTTTTTTTTGGCCTTATATATAGTTTTTTTTTTTTTTAGAATTGTGGAAGTGTATGTTTAAGACTCATAGTTGTAGCATATATTGCAAGTTAGGTTGTGTATCGAAATTTGGTTTATTGGATCAAATGTATTCAATTTCAGTTCCCTGTAGTTTGATAGAAGTACAGAGAAATTTAGGACTCCTTTTGAAATAACCAGTTGTCACTATTTTGTATTTTGTTAGCCTGTGACATGCAGATGATGTCAAAATTAACTATTCGCTCAGAATGTGTGCAGTGGTTACCAGTACAGTGTGTAATGTAACTACGTTTTGTGTTGAGTTTGGATATGTAAAAACGTCAGACAAATTCGACTTTGACTAATTATGTCAGAAGAGTAAGATGGACAATGTATCATGCAGATTTGCCATTGGTCTAGGTGAAAGGTTATCACCAGGATATTGTACGCATGTAAATAAGTTCTGAATCTTAAGAGGAAATGTTGTTTAAGAGTTTTTGCAGACTTGTTTGAGAAAAGCCTGCATTGTTAAAGTTAAGCCCAGAAGTTACACATGTTAGCCATGTTGTTTATTGTTGATAGCAAAACAAATGTTCCAGTATTGTTGTTCAATAGTTAGGTTTTGTTTGAAAGAGAGGTAATTGTACCACAGGAGCTTGTACAATTAAGGGGCCGGAATGTTAGTGCCAAATTCACCGCATGAAACAGTTACAGCGCCCTCTGTTGACAGAAAAGTTTGTAGATATCGTTATGGGATATCGATCGATAGGAGCGTGGAGGACATACGTTTTTTCAACCTTTGTAACAGTTTTGTATCACCTTTTTGACACTTTTGACAAGCTTATTCTCGAATTTTCTATTGGTGTGCTAGTTCATGATTGTTAAATCAGTCTGGTAGAATTGATGTAGTAAAAAGGTCTGGGATTTCATCAACTCCGGGAAGCCTGAGAGCTGTGGCTCAATCTGTTTTCGAGAGGCTGCAGATCATTGATAACAGAATCCTAGGAAGTGCTTGTATTGTGATTAAATTTTTAGGATTGTTGTGATTTGCTGAATGATGCTTCATTTCCCACCAGAAATATAATACAGTAGGAAGTATGTTTCTGCATTCTGTAATGTATCAATACAAAAACAAAATGCATGGTGATCATGACCATTTTTTTTTAAATTACAGGAGGAAAGGTCAACTCAAACCAGTGCAACTTCAGCCAGGACTAACTCATCAACAGTGACTCTTTCAGGTGGTGCCCCCGAGGCAGGAACTCCGACAGTAAATAACCTGTTTCTTTTCTTTTTTATTTTTACTATTCGCCAAATATTCAAGAAATGACCTTTTTTTGTCTCTCAGCATACCTCCATAATATATAAAATCCGGCCCCACGTTTAATTCTATACATTTTATATTGAATAAGTCTGCACGATCCCCCATGCATTCATACCTTTGATCTTTTCTTATCTTGCCCATTTCATGCTAGACCAGAGTGAAGGCCTAGTTCAGTGCTATTGAAGACTGCACTCCTTTTCAGCAGCCGTTGGTGTTTTTTTTTGGGGGGGGCGGGGCACTATATGTTACATCACATCCAGAATTCACACTTGTGGTGCTGAATGTTGCTCATTAATTTAAGTGCATGACATTGCTAAGCACCCAATGTGTACCAGCGTTTAAAATGTATATTTACAAAATATCGTCTTGAAACGTCAGCACACACCATTGGCATGATTTACATGATGCTTATACTGTAACTAAAAGTCCAATAACGTTTTCTTAACAATTTGGTGGTTTTGTTTTCGGATGTTTGCAAATGTCTCTTTAACACCGATTTCCATGGGCTCTCATGATTATGTCGTACCTCAAATTTGCCAGAAGTAATTCCTGTTTTGTGTAGGATTGCCTCTTCTTATGACCCAGGTCTACATTCCTGAACTAGTAGCCCACTTCGGACAGCCACTCTGAAAATAGTCGTTTATGTTGGAACAATCAGATTCTTTGTCAATATACAGCAATCCTTCCTGGAATGTGTGTACGTCCAAGTTGAGTAATTTGGCTTAAAACTGCGACCTTCAACTTCTACAAACGCCCTTGATGAGCAGTGAAAGCGACCACAGTAAAACTTATATTTTCTAAAAAGGCCGGGAATTCTATGACAATGTTGCAGAAAAACTTTAAAAATCACACACACTTTCTTGTATGAACATGCTCATTGACCTATTTATTCTTCTTACCTTGTAGGGTCCAGTTTTGGAACCAACATACTCCGACTGTAAGTTCACATATGATACATTTTACCCATTTCACCCTTGTCTCTACTACTATAATTATTGTTTGTTAACCCACCTGCCAAATAATTTAATGTTCAATTTCACTGTTGTAACCCTTCCCCAGGGTTATGGGAATTGTTCCTATTTGTGGAATAAAACATAACAAAACAAAAAAAAACTCTACATTCCCCTACGTTTGCCATGATTTCCTTGACGATAGTATGTTACATGCACATGACATACATGCACTTCTTTTGTTCCTTCAAAATAAATGCTCTAATTTGAGGGCGTGTTGCGAATTGTAATTTTGGCAACTTCAAGCCTATTTACTGGCCTGCATACATGCACATGTAGACCTTTATTATCAGTGTGATTACTGTATGGCCTTTATCTTGGAAGCTTTGGCCTGACCTGCCCATAACTTTGTTAATGTATATGTTACAAGCACCAATATTATTGCACCGAAATTTATTCAAATGTTGTATTTGACTGCTGGATTGACACTAAACATTGGCCTCATTTGAAACCAAAGAAAATGGACTCGAATACTTGTTGTGGAATGCAAACTTATCATGATTCTTTCATTCTTTATAGGTTTGAGACAGCATTTATGTGCAAGCAGGTACCCCAACGGTACGTATCTTTTGACTTACTTACACAAAGTCATTGCAGTTTATTAGCAAACAAATAAGTGTTGATCATTTGATCCATTTAATTAGATTCCATCAAGTTACCTTTGCTTTTATGAGGATTGACAGAATCTTTAGCAGGATACCGAGTGCGACAAATTTAAGAGAGAACAAACACACAATTTGAAATGAATTCCCACTTTGGTTTCCTTTTTTGGCTTATTTATTTCAACCTAAAAGATAATGTAATAACCCATACACATTCTGCTCTTTATTTTTAATGTAAAATTGTTAAATTTGTAAGCAGTCTCTTTATTCGATGGCATTTTCTTTTTGTGTCTTCATACCTCCGTTATTAAATGGAAGCCTGGCAGATGTGTCACTAGTTATAGTGTTTTAGTCTTTATGACTTTTTTTTTAGTTATTTAGTGTTTTAGTTTCTTC